TAGAACATATTGTGTTAAGGTCCAAAAATTTGTTTTTGAATTTTGAATTATACATAAAGAAAAGACAGGTTAAACAATTGACAAACTTAAATAAGCAATCATTATTAGTTGTGAACATATTTTACTATTGTATTAACTTTTCACTTCTCTAATATAGTTGATTTTTCATTGATTTAGATTGAACAAATAAATATAAAGTTATCTTTCTAAACTCAAAAAGATAATGGTTAATTGTATAGCATATTTTCTATAGTGATGATTTAAATTTTTGACAAATTATTCACAAATAAATATGAGGATCTTTCTCAACCCAAAAAGATAATGGTTTAAATTTTTTTTTATTAACATTTTGCTTCTCTCATATAGCAAATTTTTTTTATCGGATGACAAAAAAAAAAAAACTTCTCCGATTAAAAATATTATAAAATGTTCTCTACATATAAACATTAATAACTAATATTTTTTAACAATTACGATTATTGTATCATGTGTCATTACCGATGACACCGTTGAAGCAAAAATGTATATGCACAATAATGAATGCCAAAAATTAGTCGAATCAACCGCTGCAATCTAATTAATAATTATGGATTCCATTGTCTAGACATTATACCACCAATTTTTCTTCGAGAAAATTGAGCAAATAAAAATCTCTTGCTTCCGACACGACAAGTTTCCCGACTCCATTTTCCATGTCAACTTCGGCTCAAATCCAAGACAATCAAAACAAATAACTTCCTTGAAGTGCTACCTATTTATATGTTTTTGTGTTAGAAATAAATATGTCTTTGTGTTTTAGTTAATAACTAAAACTTTTGCACTTACGATCAGTCTATTTATATTTCTTAATAGATAATTGAAATTTTTTGATCATTTTAAAACTCAAAATATATATGCTCCTTAGCAATAATTAAAATTTTTATATCATATTAAACTTCGACATGTAATAATATTCATAAATTTTATAATATTAAATAAAAAAGAAATCACAGCAGATAAAAAATCATATCCAATGAAAAAATTACTGCATCTAAGCGCGGACATATTATTATTGTTCTCCAAACCCTCTAAACCGGAGGTGAAAGATAGCTTTGCAAGGAAAATTCAATAGTCAAGATTGTCACCTTACATTTAAGCGTCAAGATTGTGCGAGGGGCGCAAGGTTCTAGGCCTTTGTCTTGACACCATAAACGAGGGACTTTGAGAAAAGAGGGGTCGTTTCTTAAGAGGTTTGTTTTTTTTTAAAAAAAAAAAAAAAAAAAAACAAGAAGAAGAAGAAAGAAAGAAATCAAGAGACTAAGTAAGAAAAAAAAAACAAGGAAAAAAACAGTAAGTGTAATCTATAATTTTGTTATTTATTTTTTGTTATTATTTTGTTTTGGTCAAGTTTCAACATCCTTTTATTACCATGACTTTCATGCCTCAGGTGCATAATTTCAAACTTTTGGTTGGCATGGAGAAAACTTGGCTTACCATTAGTTTAGTTGTATGATAATCTAGCCAAATCTTCTCCCATTTCTTTTTGGTTCGGCCATGAATATCCATGGTCAATATAGTTGAAAAGTTGCAGAAAATGAATTCTGGACAATATTGATGTTGTATTTGAAGTTTGGCAATTTTTTATATCGTTTTAGTCCCTAAGTTTGTCTATTCTCTCTTTTTTTTTATGGTTTAATAAAAAAAGCTTCTCAATTATTTCTCTCATTTCAACATAATAAGAATCAAATTGGAAAAATAAAATGTCTTATAAAATTGTTTTTTGTATACATTCCAATACATGTGTTGATTGTTTTGTTTCATTTTGATAGCATTGATTTTGCTAGTTGTCAATTTTATCCTTATTTCTAGGTGACAGAGACTAATTCTTGAGAAAAATAAAATATTAACTTCGACTTTTTGGAGTCAATTTAGTCATTGGTTTTTCGGATAGATTTTCTTTTAGTCACTGCATTTTTTTTAATCATGCAAGTAATTTTATATTTGTCCATAGATAATTTCTTGTTTCTTATTTAGCATAAACGAATAATATAGTTTACCATTTAGTATGCATTGCTATTTGCATATATAATATATAATTCACATGTGTCAAAATTGCGGCTATAAATTAATTTTCTTATTTTTTTTGTAAAGGGCTTTAGCTAATTTTAACATAATTTCGTAATTATTTGCATATCATATCATTATATTGTTTAAATATGTGATTGTTTTTTGCGAAAAGCTTACATAAATCTGACAACAGACTAACAAATCCCAAGTTTTTAGGTCCTATTTTAAGGGACCGACAAATGGCCTAATGAAATCTTGCAATTTTTTTGGATTATCACGTACTACTAATTACTGTTACTTCACGCTATAGAACCATGGCTATTGTTAGCCTTTTTTGAATTTACCAATTTACCATATCGTGCTTTGTCACGATGTTTTCAGTATGAAATTCATGTTAGGGCTTTAATTAAATCTGTTTTTAAATTGTCGAAACTTCTAATGTTAAGATCTGCTAGTAATTTAATAAGTTTCCACCATAAATTTTAATTAACATAGTATGTCTTTGTTTGTTGTGGTGTTTTTAATATGAAATTAATACTAGGGCTTTAATTGAACCCAATATTAAATTTGTGAAACTCTTAATATTAAGATCTAACGGAAATTTAATATGATTCTATAATAAATTTCTATTAACTTAATATATCTTGATTTGTAGTATTTTCCTCATAAAAAATTCATGCCAATGTTTTAATTGAATTTGATATTAAATTGATCAGACTCTTAATTTTAGTGTCCGATTACAATTTAATAAAATTTTATAATTTTAATATATCCGAAAATGACCTCTATGAATAACTCCGAGGAATTAATTTTCTCATATTAATTTCAAATTCATGTCGATCTTACCGAAGTGGTTTTTGATAAAACTAAAAATTAAATGTTGAATTTTTAGTGTTGATTAATTAAGTATTAAATATGTCACCGACAAACTTGTTTGGTATTTATTAAAATTTAAGTGTTGAATATAATAATAAGGTTGTTTGATAAGTATTGTTATTAAACATATTAAGACTACATACATGATAATTTTAACCTTATAATTGTAACATGATATATGTGTGTGTGTAAATAAATAAAAATTCAATAAAAAAATTAAACATAATTTAAAATAACATTAATTATCTTATCATATATAAAATAAATGAAATTTTCAGTATTGGGTATCGGCTTGTTGAATGCTAAGCAAATGGTGAGGCGTATTCTTTTGTCTCTAGAAACATGCATTATCATACCAAAAGGCCATTTTGTTGTGTATGTTGGAGAAGCTCAAAAGTGATGTGTTGTTCCCATCTCCTATTTGAAGAACTCTTCATTCCAAAAGTTGCTTACACATGTTGAAGAAGAGTACGGCTTTAATCATCCAACTGGAGGTCTGACCATTCCATGCGGTAAAGAAGTCTTCACTGGTCTCACAGCTTGCAATTAATTTTTAGATATCAATGTTTAGATCAAAGCAAATTAATCAGTTGGTGCTATAGATCTTATATATAATTTGTTTATTAATTTGTATAATTAAAATTATAAGAATATATAAAAGCTGGATAATAATATTTAAAAAGTTTTTAAAATCTTTCAACCGAAGTTGTTAATAAAAAAGTTTTAAGTTAAAAACTTTAACTTATCTAATTCAATAGATTTTGATTGAATTTAACTTATCAAACAAAACTTTTTATTTTAAACACTATAATTTAATTTTTTAAGCTATTTAAGTAGGTTATCAAACACATCTTTATTAATAAAATCATAAATAGATTTAGAAAATAATTTGACCAATAATAAAATTTTGTAAATAAATTAGGAATAGAAACAAGTTCGATGACTCGAACTTTTTAAAAAAATGATGTTTTTTTTATGTTTTTTTAATGATTGTTATCTTTCGATTTTCTAATTTCTTATAGACCCCTACTAGATTTTTTACCGCGCTACTGCTGCGGATTGGATAAAATATATAAAATCATATAGAAAAATTATTTCAGTTTAATAATCTATTTTATGATAAAAAATAATTATAATTTTTAAATAAAAAAATTTATATTTAACTATTTCTTATTTGTGTTTTTAAATTTTAGAAATAAATATTAAAGCAAATAAATTATTGATTTCTTTAAAATTTTAACACCCAATTAATTGTTGGTTCTTTTAAAATTTTAACACCTAATATTATTAAGAAATTAAAATTAAAAAAAAATTCAATGTTTAGGAAAAAAAAAAAAAAAGGAGGCCAGTAGTTTACTTGTTCATGTGAATAGTAAACGAATGAAAATTAAAAAAAAAATTAGTGTCTAGAGAAAAAAAAAGAAGATGGCAAATTGTTTACCATTCAAATGAACAATAAACAGGTAAAAAAAAAGGGGAGGGGGAGGCCAATGGTGCTGACAAAAAAAGCCAAAGTAATATAGCAATGAACAGTGATTAACACTTGTTCATTGCTATAGTGAAAAATGATTTTTCTTTAGTATATAGTATTAGATTTTTTACTGCGTTATCTTTGCGGGTTGGATAAAATATATAAAATCGTTTAGAAAAATTATTTAAATTTAATAATTTGTTTCATGATAAAAAATAATTATAATTTTTTAATAAAAAATTTTGTATTTAAGTATTCTTATTTTTTAAGAAAAAAATTTTAAAAATAAATAATAAAGAAAATAAATTATTGGTTTCTTTAAAATTTTAACACCCAATTAATTGTTGGTTCTTTTAAAATTTTAACACTAAATACTATTAAGAAACAGAAATTAAAAAAAAAATTCAATGTTTAGAAAAAAAGAGGGCAGCGTTTACCGTCCAAATGAACAGTAAACGGTTTGGGGGATCAATGGAAATTTTTAAAAAAACACTGTAGCAATAAACAGTGATTTTCACTGTTCATTACTACAGTGAAAAATCATTTTGCTTTAGCATATAGGATAATAATCATCACATTGAGCGCTGGTATCATCGCAGCTTTAGACCGCACCAGCCGCGAATCGAACCCGGGTCTGTACCGGGGCAGGATATACTATTCTACCAGTAGACCACTGGGGCTTGATGGTTCGACCAAATATAAACACAGTCAGTCAACAAGGCGAGATGGTATCCAATGGGAAGCTCACTAATTTTTTCCAATTCTTGGAAAATTGATTGCGGAAATGACGCATGCACTCCTCGTAAAACCTTCCACATATACAGTACCCACGCGGGACACGGCTTAAAATATTTGAAAATTCTCTGCTGGCCAATACTCAGTCAAACTTAACGTCCATTCTCTAGTTACGCGACATCTCCTTATCTCAAATGGCTGCTTACCACACGAAGTAGACTTTCGGACCATTAAAAGCCCAATAAAGGTCAAGTCATCTGTCATTTTTGCACCTGCCTAGAAGAAGGACGTGACGTGGCTTGCAATGCAAATAACAGACAAACTAGGGCCAAAAGTTTTGATAACAATTTTCATCCCTATACTATGCTACGCTTTTTACATTGAGTCCTATGCTATGAAGATGTACATTCAAATCCTTAAATCTTGGTACCTATGGGGTTCGTGGAGGGGTTCTAAGTGGTTGATTGAGATTCGCATAGGTACTGAGTTTCACTTTTGATTTCGAATTTGCTCAACTATTTCTTTTGTTATTTTGTTATGTTTATGATGATATTGAATTTTTAAACTAAAATTGACCTATAGTGTATTAAATATTAATCTATTTATATAAAAATAAGAAGATTTTTTTATCAAATAAACGACATTCATAAAGATAAAAATAAATATACAAGTGAACTCTAAGAGAAATGTTAGAGCTAAATTCAAGTTCTAAAAACTCAAATAGAGATCTAGTATTAAAATAAGTAATATATATATATATAATTTCAAAAGACCTAGTCCATTTGAGCATAAACTTAAAAACTAAATAAGAGTATCTTTCTCTTCTCTTCTTCTCCGAGTAATAGGCATAAGTTGTCGAAATCTAAGCAAGGACTTCAAGAGACATTGATAAGATATCCAAGCTTAGTCTTTTTTAATCTTTACATCTTGCTATTAACACATCTAATTTTATAAAAAAACAACTCGTTAATTTGGATTTTTAAGAAATAGTGAGGGACTAAATATTTACTTTTTTTTTTTTTTTTCATTTTATTGATGGTCCATCAAAAACAATAAACATTCAACTCCGTAGTAATCTCGTTTTTTCCTCCAAATCTTTATAAACATTAGCAAAATTCTCAACAAAGATCTCCTTTCGGGGCCAATCAACACTACCTTTCATACCACGCTCAAAGATCCATCATTCAACCTCTACACTCAATGCAAAATACCACTACATTCAATCAATGGGAGATAAATCCTAGTACCATTCAACCAAATTTAGTTCTTTCACTCTCCCATAATATCTTTTCATTCCACCATCCAAGCCAAACCCCATAAACTTGTGAACAAGACGGCTCTTCCACTAGTAATGGCGACCACCTATCCAAATTACAAGATACTTTTTAGAGCCTTTATGCGGTATAATGTAGAGTCTTTAACGATAAGAAACTATCGAGAGAAGCATAGATTTTTGGTTGATAAAAGCTAGAGTTTCTCTCTCTACTTCTTTAGAAAGAAAGGAGTTAACAATTTTTTTTTTCCGAAAATAGTAGCATTAGTTGGAATATTATAAAAGAACCTATGAATATCCCTTTTTTTATATACAAAAAATAAATAAAATTAAAGTTTAGAATTTTTATAATTTATAGTGGTCACTCCAATTATTTAGCTTTCAAACTTGATCACTAATTAAAATAATGGTCAAATCGGATGGAAAGAGAAGGAAGGACAAATATTGCCATTAAAATTACAACTTAAGGATTCGGTCACATATTTTAATAGTACAAGGATCAATATGGTATAAGTGTCATAGTACAGGGATGAAAAAAGCATTAAACACTTGACGTATCACCTACAGTGATGTAGGACCCACCCACATTTTGACATTCGCGTTTTTGCGAACTTGCATTCCTTCTTACCAGATCTAAAACATCGTAAACCTCAGACAGAACCAAAAACACAACTTGTTCCCTCCCCCCCCTCTCTCTGCATCCTCATTGACCAACAAGTAAAGAAAATAAAGAGGCGGAGAGAGACCAAACTATAGAGAGAGAAACAGACCATTTTGAATGTTATTTATGTGTATGAGAACATAGTGAGAGATGGGGGTGCAAGAACATGGGAATGGAATTGTGGGGGGGAATAACAAGTACAGGAGGATGGATTTTGATGCGTCAGATGAAGATATTGTGTTGTCAAATAATCATCAATATCAAGAGGGTGTTTCTGTTGAAAAAAGGGATACAAAGATATATGTTTTTGCCTGCGCTATCTTTGCCTCTCTCAATTCTGTGCTTCTGGGATATGGTTAGTATGTTTATCTTTTTCTTTTTAATTGAAACTGTTGGTTTTGTGGTTGATCTGCTTGAATTTTGAGTATCCAATTTAGCATTGCACATATATTTTTTGTTTTCTCTATAATTTATTTGTGTTTTCATAGCTTTTGAGTCTTTCTCTGATTTGTTTATAAGTTGAAAGCCCATGTAAGATCAAGTTATGTACTTCATCGGTTGTAACTTCAATGCGGCTATCAGGCTTGTCTGATTTTTATACAAGCACTGTGACTTAGCACAGAAAACGCGGAATATTTTGTGCAAGTCAAGATATTAATTTTATTGAACTAATAGGAAAACGTTTGGTGAGAGGTTAAAGATAAAAATTGGAGGGTGGAATTAATGTTCATTTGGGAAAATCTCGAGTTATTATAGGTTGATATTGAGCTAGTGTTTACGGATGTTAGTAAATTATTAAGATGGTTAATTCTTATGTGCAGATTGCTTGTCTAGTTTATGGTCATAATCATGATCTCTTTACATGAAAATTGTTAAACTTGAAGATTCTCGATGTGAGTAAAATAATTCTAGGCCGTCTAAAGGGATTCTATTGGCAAAATACCATCTTGCAAAACTTGTTAATTTATGGCTAATAACTTAAGAGATTTTAACATAACACACTTTCCTGAAACATCTAATATTATTATCCAATGAAGGATGATGGTTTTAGGCTGTGAAATTTTGCACAAGTGAGTTTCTTTTTCTTTTTGTCTCTATTTATTCATTTCAGACAAGATTTACAACCTACATGCGTACGGCCTGTTGTTACTTGTTATGGAAGAGAATCCATTTGAATGTAGTCCAAAATTCTAGTTTGTAATTCATCCTCGTGATGCAGATGTGGGTGTTATGAGTGGAGCAATTTTATTCATCAAGGAAGATCTTAAGATATCTGAGGTACAACAAGAAGTTCTTATTGGAATTTTAAGCATAATTTCTCTTTTGGGTAGTTTGGCTGGAGGAAAAACATCAGATGTCATCGGTCGCAAGTGGACGATAGCCTTTGCAACCATTGTTTTTCAGTCAGGAGCTTCTATAATGGCTCTTGCTCCTTCTTTTACAATTTTGATGATAGGAAGACTCTTGGCTGGGGTGGGTATAGGCTTTGGGGTCATGATAGCTCCAGTGTACATTGCGGAGATATCACCCACTGCCATTAGAGGATCCCTCACCTCTTTTCCTGAAATTTTTATAAATCTAGGAATCCTTCTTGGATACATTTCCAACTATGCTTTTTCAGGACTACCAGTGCATATAAACTGGAGGGTTATGCTTGGCATAGGAATTCTTCCCTCGATCTTTATGGGGGTTGCACTGTTTGTGATCCCTGAATCCCCGAGGTGGTTGGTGGTGCAGGACAGAATTGAAGAAGCAAGAGTTGTGCTGTCAAAAACAAATGATACTGACAGAGAAGTGGAGGAAAGATTGGCTGAAATACAACTGGCTGCTGGCCTTGCTAACCCTGAGAAGTCTGAAACAAAAGCAGTATGGCAAGAATTATTAAAACCTTCCCCTGCAGTTCGACGGATGCTGATTGCTGGTTGTGGAATCCAGTGTTTCCAACAAATCACAGGTATTGATGCAACTGTCTACTATAGCCCCACGATTTTTGCGGATGCTGGGATCAAAAGCAAGACTCATCTTCTTGCAGCAACTGTTGCTGTTGGTTTTACCAAAACTATTTTTATCTTAATAGCTATATTTCTTATTGACAAAGTGGGTAGAAAACCGTTGCTTTACATAAGCACCATCGGAATGACTGCCAGCTTACTTTCTCTAAGCCTTACTCTATCTTTCATGAGTGATGGAAAATTTGGGATTGCATTGGCAATTTTATCAGTTTGTGCGAATGTAGCATTCTTCTCTGTAGGTATTGGCCCTATTTGTTGGGTTTTGTCATCTGAAATTTTCCCTCTAAGGCTTCGAGCTCAAGCATCGGCTCTTGGGGCAGTGGGCAGTAGGGTCAGTAGTGGTGCAATTTCTATGTCATTCCTCTCAGTGTCTGCTGCAATCACAGTTGGAGGAAGCTTCTTTCTATTTTCAGTGATTTCAGCTCTTTCTATTGCTTTTGTCCATACATGTGTCCCAGAAACAAAAGGCAAGTCATTGGAGCAAATTGAAATGCTATTTCAAAATGGAGGAGAGTTGCAAAGAGGTGAGGTGGAATTGGGAGATGTAGAAGTACAGAGATTGATGCAGAAAGACTGAACGGGTGGCAATGGCATGCTTGTTTAACCCAGGAACTTCAGATAGAGGCTTGTTATACTCAAAACTAGTCCAAGTAAAGAGCATTATTTACACATCCTGTGAATTCATAAAGTTGATAAAAAAAAAAAAATACACTGGTGTTGTTCTTTGCACGAGCGGATTAAAATTATAGAAGCTCAACATACAGAGATTGCTAATCCAAATCATTGAGATTATTTATCTTCACTTCTGCTTCTTTATTAGGATTTCGAAAAGATCATGAAAACAAGATTGTACCAGTGCACGATTGAATTTGGGCTATAAAGAAGCTGCTGCTGCAATCCTGACTTGTTTCTGGTTTGCTAATTGATAGTGGGAAATTGTTTTATCAGTTATCAGTTATAATGGTACTTCAGACAGGAGACATAATTCTAACTAAAGTTTAGGCAAAAGCTTAGCTCTCAAGTCCTAACTTCAGTTAGTTCCTTGATTGGCCCATTGACAAGGTTGGTCCTTGACAGCCTTTTTAAACTCCATGCCCTGTTTTTTTCCCCTCCCTTTCTCTAAACAGAATCTACATGCTTTGGGCAATCAGCAAGCAGCTTGGTAATTTATCAACTAACCAGTTCCTATTTGACAGAAGTTGGATCGCCATTGTTCCACAGGCTAAGCTAGCACGTCAAATTTACACGAACTTGGTGCTAAGCTAGCCCTTATGGGGTGGAAGCTAATAGAATCACACTCACAATGTATATATTTTAAGATGATCACCTTCAAAACTTGTTTTAATAGGCATGAATTCAACATGATTATTATACTTTCATAATTACATGATAAAAAAAAAAAAAAATCAGTGTTTACTTTAGAGACTCAACAATTCAATGAACCTTTACTTACAACTTTGAGAGAGAGAAAAGGGTCTTAATCCAATGGAAGATCTTATCATATTCCCTTCAATCCAAGTATAATAATGGAATGAATCGAACAGCATGGTGCATAATTAACCAATACAACAAACTGAAAACTTTTCGTAAGAGAAGACAAGGACATAATTTAGCAATTGCAGATGACATAAAACGTTCAAATTATATTGCATTGCCTGGATTTTCATATATTGCGGCCAAGAAGATTAAAAAAAAAAAAAAAAAAAAACAAGAGAGATAAAAAAAATGTCTTATGGCCTTTTTTTTTCCTTCTTGACTTTTCTCCAGACATCAGAAACCTTAATCATAGTTTTCTGTCTATGTTAAAAACAGAGAATGCTTAAAGGGTGTCGTTGAAATGGCTGAATTTTCCAGAAGAGGCAAGAGGGCCTTTAAAATCACTTGTACAAGAGAGCTAGGGGTGGATTCTGATGCTACGGAGGAAGATTTGTTGTCCAATAAGAATATTCAACAAGAAGAGGATGTTTCTATAAAGAAAAAGAGAACCAACAAATATGTTCTTGCTTGTGCCATCTTTGCCTCTTTCAATTCTGTGCTTCTGGGTTGTGGTTAGTACGTTGATCTTTTTTCTTTTTTCTTTTTTTCCTTTTTTGTTTTTAATTTTTAATGTAACCTCTTTGTTTTGCTTAAACTTTGATACCGATGTTGGCATTGTTTAGTTTTTGCGTTAAATTTAATTTATGAGTATCGTCATAGTTTTTGTTCTTCTGAATATTTTTATCAAATAAAAGTCTATGGAATCAAGTTACGGACTTCATTGGTTTTTATTCCATTTGGTTCTTCTACTGCGATTGAGCAGAGAAATGCAATATATCTTGTAGAGCTTAGATAAACATTTTGTTTGAGTAAGCCATGCAAGAAGATTTAGTGAGGACATGGATATAGAGATCTCAGAAAGAAATTGCTCAGTTTGGAAAAGGTTGAATTACAGGATATGATATGAAGTCGTTGTTTAAAGAAATTTGTCATGTATATAAATATTAGTAATAAATGGTTGTGGTCATAGCCAAAATCCATGTGTATGCAAATGTTTGAAGTCGAGGGATCAATTCTGGAATTTTCATCTAAAGTTTCCCTTTTTTGGAGACATATCTCATTTGAGCAAATGCAAAGTAGTCTAAAGGATTCTAATGGAAGAAAAGAAAAAAGAAAAACTTTATCTTGCTATAATTTACTTAATTGTTGCTAATTATTGCAGAGTAATCAAAATAGCAGACTGTACAGAAAACCTACAGTTGTATCAATGAAGATTATGTTTTTAAGCTCTAAACATATGAGGAAGTAAGAGGCTTATTGTTTCATATCTCTGTATTGAATCATTTTAAGATGACATCTGCAAACTACATTTATGCCGGTTGTCGCAAGGATTTACCTATTTGATTGCAGTTTGAAGTTACAGTTGCCAATGGATCGTTGTGACTTGCAGATGTGGGTGCTATGAGCGGAGCTCTTTCATTCACTCAGGAAGATCTAATGATATCAGATGTACAAGAAGAAGTTCTTGTTGGAATTTTAAGCATAATTTCTCTTTTGGGAATTTTAGCTGGAGGAAAAACATCAGATGCCATTGGCCGAAAGTGGATGATATAGCCTTTGGAACCATTGTTTTTCAGTCAGGAGTTGCTGTAATGGCTCTTGCTCCTCCTTTACAATAGTAATGATAGGCAGACTATTGGCTGGGGTGGGGATAGGCTTTGGGATCATGATTGTGCCAGTGTACATTGCTGAAATATCGCCTTCTGCTATCATAGGATCCCTTCCTCTTTCCTGGGGTTTTCATCAATCCAGGAATACTTATCGGATACATTTCAAACTATGCACTTTTTCAGTACTGACGTTGCATATAAACTGGAGGGTTATGCTTGGTATGGGAATCCTTCCCTCAGTCTTTATGGGGGTTTCACTGTTTGTAATCCCCTAATCTCTGAGGTGGTTCGTGATGCAGAATAGAATGGAAGAAGCAAGAGTTATGCTGTCAAAGACAAATGACAATGAAAGAAGTGGAGGAAAGATTGGATGAGATACAACAGGCTGCAGGGATTGCTGATTCTGAGAAGTACGAACCAAAAGCTGTGTGGCGTGAATTATTAAATCCTTCCCTGCAGTCTGATGGATGCTGATCACCGGTTTTGGAATCCAATGTTTCCAACAGATTACCGGTATTGATCCAACTGTTTACCATAGTCCCAATATTTTTAAGGCAGCTGGGATTGAGATTTGAGAGTAACACTCAGGTTCTTGCAGCAACTGTTGCTGTTGGGTTTACCAAAACTATGTTTATATTAATAGCAATATTTCTGATGGATAGAGTGTGTAGAAAAACAATTGGAATGACCGTGATCCTATTTGATCTAAGCCTTTCTGTATATTTTATGGGGGATGGAAAATTTGGGATTAGATGGCAATTGCGTCTCTTTGTGCAAATGTAACTTTCTTCTCTGTAGAAATAGGCCCAGTTTGTTTGGTTTTGTCATCTGAAATTTTCCTGCTAAGGCTTCAAGCTCAAGCATCAGCCATTGGGTCAGTGGGCAGTAGGGTCAGTAGTAGTTAAGTTACCATGTCTTTTCCTCTCTGTATCTCGCAATCACAGTTGGAGGAACCTTCCTAATATTTTCAGTGATTTCAGCTCTTTCTGTTGCTTTTGTCCATGTCTCTGTCCCGGAAGCGAAAGGCAAGTCTATGGAGCAAATTGAAATGTTATTTCAGAAAAGAGAACGGGAAATATGTGAGGTGGAATTGGGAGATGTAGAACGATTAGTGCAGAAAGAGTGGGCTCGGCTTATGCTTGTTGCTAACTTACAAATGTCTTAAAGAGGCATGTTATGCAAAAAACCAGTTTAGGAAAAGGTTATCATGCACATATCTTGGCAATTCTTTTAGTTGATAGTAATAAGGAACTTGAGAGTCAATTTCACCATGAATAATAGTTGTCTAGCAGCAGAACCAGAGCAGTAGGAACTTTTTTGTTCAGAGTTACAATGGTATGCTTTAAACAAGTGACAGAACTTAGAAGTGGCAGGGTACATTTGCTCCTTTGATTACTGTAACTTGTATCTTGAACGTGTAGATGGAGTCCTACGCATTGAATTCATTCCAATATTAGGATTCTTTATCGTGTATTCAGCTTCTTTCCACTTACAGATTTTGTGAGATCCTACTAATAGTAGGATTTATATCATGTTAAACTACTGAAGCTGTAATTCTGCAAATATGGTTTACTTCTGGTTTTCCAATAGATACTGAGATGATTTATCTTTTAACAATTAGCTAATAGCTTCTCTGTTTGATTCTTTTTGCTCTCCAGACAAAAGAGTGTGCAAATGTGAGGGCATTACAGCTAGGTTCTCCAGCAGTTCCCGATCTTTTTCGTCCTATGGGGTATGCAAGTTCTCAGATGTAATGGTGTTTCTGTGAAAATGGCAAATGTATGTTTTATCTTTAAGTGAAACTAGCAAGGGCATCCAATTTTACTCTTTCAGACAAATATCTTATTTTGCTCTTTTTATTTGTTAAAAGAATCACAATAATGCACGATTGAAAATGCCTGAAAGGGAAACATCACAAAAGCCACAAGCAACTGGAACACTATACAAAACATCAAAAACGACCTCTTTTTGGCTTGAAAATAAACGTCCCAACATTGATGTTGGTCCATAAATGAGTTTCTTCCAATCTAAGTCAATATCCAGACATGTTTAAGACATGAAACTCCATCTTTGCTAATTCATGGTACAGTTCATGCGAGCCACGTTAAATAGTGCAAACAGAAAATAATACAAAATATGTGAGGACAGCATGGACCAAGTTATGCTCAGGGGACCATAGCCATGTGCACCCCTTGTCATCCATTACATCAATTAACAACCATGACGGCGTCCTGTGCAACATGTAAGATCAGCAATTAATTCATCGAACTTTGACAATCTCATAAGTCTACTGCACACCACGTTGGTAATTTCGACTGGGAAACCCTAATCCTAAATTACCAATAAAAGGTTTAGACAAGAGCTTATCTCTCCACTTCAAGTAGTTCATCATATAGTAGCCATGACTTTTTTTTTTTTTTTTGGATTTTCTAGATATTCAAGTCAGAAAATCTAAATTAATGCTTCTCTGTTGTTCAATTAGACGTAAAAAGCCAATACAGCTGCCTAAAGAATTTTCTTCATATGCGACAATTCGAAACTAAAAACATTTGTTTAAGTAAGTGGAATTCCTTCTGGTAAACCCCTTTGTTTTTGGGCATAGTAGCCATGACTGTGGTGACAAATTTGGTATTTAAACATCTTTTCACAGTTCATACTCAATACCTTCTTCTTTCTTTCTTTTTTTTTTTTTTTTGGTCGAAAATATTTTAACAAAAAGAGGAACTCCATTGAAATTAAGGGGAGCAGCATAGCCATCAAAAGTACAGAGCTAAAACCCAGTTTTAATTAGTCATTTACACTCCTACAGAGAAGATCAAGTTCGTTTGGTAACAATCAGCAAGCAGCTTGTGTATGTATCAACGAACCAGCTCTTATTTGACAGATAGATCACCAAAGTTTCATGTGTAGAACCCATCAAATTTACATGAACTTGATTGTTAACCAGCCCATCGTTATAAAAAAGAAAAAACTAAAATTGATGCCACCTAATTATATTCTGGTGAAACATAAAGAATTAAGCATTAACTAATAGGTACGGTTGCTCTATCCATTGACTAATGAAAGGAATATTTCCATAATTGGTTGGAAGCATTTGTTTATGTCTCTATCATGCCAAGGAATGACCAGGACTGGATCTATTTAGCTGACAACTCATTGAAAATTATGCCACTCGGTAATTCACAATTCCTTTACTAAATGGGAGTTGAAAGTCTGATCAAAGTTCAAGATAATTGCGGAGTCAACACCTGTGGTAAATGGTTATCAGGGAAAAGTATATATATATAATTGTCAAGTCTCTAATACATCCTTACATTTCCAATTCTGTCTATTATGTTTTTATATAATATTTAATTCTTCGTTATGTTATTTGGTCAAGTTTTTTTTAATCCAAATTGATAAAATTATATTTTTTATTCTAAAATTGTTATTGATTTATATAAAGATATTATAACAAAAAAAATCTCAATTTTTTTTTAAACATCCAATTTCAAAATTACTAAACCATTAATATTTTTTTAATAAAAAATAGAGATTTTAAAAAATTAAAATTATAATCTTGTATAGTTCAATGGTATTTTTAAAATTAAAAATATAATTATATCAATTTGAATAGAAAAACATAATAAACAAATATATGTAAGAATCCAACATTATAAAAAACATAATAAACACAATTATAAACAAAGACACAATGGAGATTTGACTACGATAGATTAACTAATTTACCAAAAATAAATAAATTATGGCTATGGCATAGAATAACTTGTTTAGATGCCCCAAATACTATTTGTAAATCTATTAGTTTTTACAATCCAGATATGCAAGACTAAGCATGTGGGGATGAGAAATAAAACCAAAATAAATAGGAGATGCATGTGAAGCCATGAAGTAGGTGCCTATATTAAAGACAAGCTGAGAAATCGCTTTCGCAGTTTATTTTAATACGCATGATCTTCAACATGATTACATATTCATAACTTACGATGACAAATCACAGAGTTTACTTCCAAGACTCAAAAGAATTAAATAAGCTCAGCTTGCTTCATACTTAAAAGAGGATTTGCATGGACATTCAGTGCTCAAATTGTGTTATTTTCTAATGCCGTGCAAGAATATGCAACAAATTACCAGAGAATCAAACGGGCCATAACTCTAAAAAAAAATGTGAAATGATTGAATTGGTCCATCCATCACTAACCAATAAACAAACCAAAACTATGACATTAATTGGCTATTTGGGTACCTTATTATATAAAATGCAAGATGGCTAATAATTGCAGTAGATACAGAAGGTTCTTATTATATTCCATTCTGTGCATCTTGGTAGAAGATATACATCAAATAAATAATAAGAAACTTCCCTGATGGGGGAGATTTATGAAAGAAAAAGATTCTCCTTTTCTTTCTTTCTTCAATCTTCAACAACAGTGTAATGGTGGAATGGATTGAGTCAGTCCATAACCACGGACAACAAAGCAATCTTCAACACTTTAATAATCATCATTTTTCCTATGGTAATTTACAAACTCGAACTCGAAGAATTGCAGAGAACACAACAATCCAACATTATTTGATTGATAATGCTTCCACTTTCAACCTCAATCTTTCTGCTCTGCTTGTTCCATAAGTGAACTGCAAAACTTTCACTTTTAATCTGCTCAAGTTTTTTATGCAACCATTTTGAATGAAACTCATCTCTAGGTCCCCTAAATAGACTTCGAATTCGACTCCAATTCACCGGATAAAATGCAGATGGAGGCAATACAGTGAAGTTAAACTCAGGCCTTCCATTGACCCTTGAAACAACTCTTGAAACCAGATAGGGACCATTATGACCCCACTTGTCTCCATTAAAGGTGAGTGCAAATTCTTCAATGAATTTGAAGAGTAATGGATGCTTCTTATCAAAAATCAACACAGCATTATTCAGTCTGCTCCAATTCCCAGTTTCAAGATCAATAGTTTGTGCTCCTATAGCATTTCTCAATTTGGTAAGTCTCTTCAACACTATCACATCAGCGTCCATATAAATCCCACCAAACTTATACAACAAAGCAAGCCTAAGCAAATTAGACATATTTTGACCCAAAGAAACTTCTCCAGGGCTAACATTTCCTTTCTTTAACCCGTTAAACCATTTTTCAGCATGAGTATCCTTGAATATATGATCAAAGTCAGGCTTAATTGCAATCAATTTAAACCCTTTATCAAAAAATGGCTTTAAAACAAGACCCCCGCTTTCAGAATCCATGGAATTAGAAACAATAACCAAACAAGCATTTGGATGAGACTTGAACAAACTCTCAATAGCAAACAACTCTCTGTCACCAAATGAGTTTAAAGAAGAAATCCAAGTCATAAAGAACCTAACCTTACATCCATGATTCCCAAAGAAGTCTCTTATTCTTGTCGAAAACTGCTTTGAATTGTCTCCAGACCTCAGCATCCTCTTTACAGCTTTGTATCTATGAGTCTTCTTTGGCTTAAAAACCACAGAATGATTAATTGGTGTCATTGAAATGGCTGGATTTTGCAAAAGAGGCAAAAGGGTCTTTAAAATCACTGGTGGGGTATCTTCTTTCACTGCATACATCACTGAAGATGGGAGCTTTTTGAGTGAATTTCCAGCAAGATTGGCCTGAGAGAAATTGGCGGGTTCTGGCTGAGGATTGGAGGGAAAGGGAAGGTGAACGTAGAAAACAGTGAAACCATTGTAGAAAAGTAGGAGAAAGAGTATAAGAGCAAGAAGTGAAGTCGGTAAGCAAAAGAGAAAGGCAAATATTGATCTTTTAATGTTTTGCAAGTGTTGGATATAGACAAGGCAATTCTGTTTAAGGTTGGTGATTTGGTAATACATGGTGTTTATTAGCTAAAATGTTGTTTCGGTTTTGGTTTTTGGTTCAGTTATGAGTCAATGAGAGCCTCAGATAGTTGCAGAAAGAGAGTAATGGAGGGTAAGTGAGAGCACAGCATTTTTAATGGAGGCGGCAAAATATCAAAAAAAGGAATATTTTTGTGTTTTGGGTTTTGGCATTGGGAACCAAAAAGATGGTCTAAAGGAAGTGGGAGTGGCCAGTTCACTTTGCACAGGGAGAAAAGTGGAGAGTGGGAGGGATATAAAGAGAGAAACGGAAGCTTGGCTTTGGCTTGGTTTAACTTAACTTGAAAGTTGGCTCGGATTTCGAAGTATACAATGGCCCTATTTTTTACTCTTGGGTTTGTTGTCAAATTGACTTGGACGTTGTTAGTCGGGCTGAAAGTATTCGGTTTAAACCGAAAAATTAATCGAATTGGAATCAATTTTGATTTGGTTTTTAATCCATTGAAAAAACAAACTGATTTTTTTTTGAAAAAAAATTATTTGGTTTAAACTAATCCCATTTTTTTTGAATTACATATAAAAGCCTCGAAGTCTTAACTTACAAGATAATGCATAAACACACACAATTCAGCAAAAGCAACACCGTGAAAATGCTACCATCGCTCCACCAATCTTCCTCTTCGGCTCTTCCGTACTCTCCTCTCACTCTCGGCCAGTCGGATGCCTCCTATGGACCTAGTCCACTCCCAAGCCCTCCCATTGAGGCACTAATTTGTTACGAAATTTAGACCTTTTGATATTTCACAGTCCACCCGCGCTCCTTGCCTTACATCGACCACCTCTTCACCAACCACTTCTTTCATCTTTTTCAAGTTAATGTTAGTATAGTTATTCAAGATCCAATCTTGTTTTGATGGTTTGATGTACTAGAACATTACATTTTAATATTAATAAAAAAAATTCTTTCTATTAATTCTTATTATTTATAATTTAATAGAATTAGATAGAAGTTAATATGATATGCATTGCATTAACGATTGATTGAAAGATATGAGACAAACATTAATGTACTTAAATGATATCATTAAATGTCTCAAGTCGTAGCATTGTAAAGAATAGACAGTGACTACATATGGTAAGATTTCCGAGCACTATGTTTTTACTATTAGATAGTAATAGGAGATCTCACATCTTTTGACATGATGGTGCCAAAGCAAGCACTCAAATGATTAATGTTAGAGAACATATTACTAGACGTGACTCGTCATGAGAACCCATTTAGTTTAATCTATAAGAATCTCATACGAGATAGGTACATCTAGTCCTTTGATTTGAAGTCATCATGGTTATCTCATTAGAAGAATTATGTACTTTGATATTTGTTTCAATGGATTCAAGTAAAGAGCCATATGTTAGAGATTTCTTGAGTGCACTAGGAATCTAATGGAGATAAGTGGATGATTAAGATAGGACATGTCATTTCTTATATGTTAAATGAGTTATTACATTACACTTTGATGAATGTTTGCTCAAGGAATCTATGGTTATAGTAGGAGCATACCAATAAAACATAGTTGGTTTACTTTAGAGCTAAGAGATTTGGGATCGAAAACAACTAGTGCGATCATAATCGGATAGACTATAAATCAAGTTTGAGATCACATTATGATAAATTGACATGAGGAATGAATTATATGAAAATTATTATTGTGAAAGATAATTATGAATTATTAATCCTTCTATAAAATTAGGTAATCATGATGTCTTACTAAAAACCAATCCCAATATATGTATCAAGAGATAAAAAATGTGTCTTTTATCTTCTAGATACATTGTCAACATATCTAAGAGTTTATTAAGTCACATGCATAAAGTTTAAACATTTACACGATAAAAGAGAAGCAAATGTTATTGGAAAAAGTTTCCTATTTTGAAAATTTTTCTTTTTAAGAAAGATTTATATTTTGGAAAGTCAGTTTCCTAAGTTGGAAGTTAGTTTCAAATTTAAAGACAATTGCCCGAAAAGATAAGTAGATTTAAGGTTAATTTGAGAAATTATTTTCCGATGTAGACCTCATCAAAATACTTGATCCAATTTATTTAGATCGTCTAAACTAATTGAGCCAAAAGAGTTTGGATCAGTAGGTATCATTTAAAAGCCTATAAGATATTTTGATAGAAAAATAAATTTGAGTATTATTTGATAAGATTCGGGGTTTACAAGGATAATGTCAAACAAACTTCATAGAAGTAGCATCTCCTTGACGTACAAGGAGATGATGTTGCCACACACTCATACACATAGATATATGTAGAGGGATGAGATACATGGCAAAAATATAAGAAAATAACAAGATAAAAAATATTTTTCTCCCCTAAATAAAAGTTGTTACATCTCTCTTTAAAAAGGCCAAAAAGTTGACGTAAATTACCCTATAGGATTTTAGGAGAAAAATTTACTTCATAGAATAGTTAGAGCTGGAACATGATGATTTCTATTGCTTCTTATGCAAATGTTTGAGTCGTATGGATAATCAATAAAGGTCGAACACTTGGATGCTTTTTTTCTTCTTAAATTGTTTCTACGCTACAAAAGGTAATCACTCATCTTAATCCGATTCATGTTTATATGTGATTAATTAATTCAACGATATAATTTTGGAAATCCTAGATGAAAATTTTTTTCTCGTTTATTTCGTACTTTCATAGGAGGCATGATTCTCTAATTAGTATCGAGCCTTTATTGAATTTTTAATTGTATGTTATATTAATTATGATTAACTATATAAATTATTTTTTATTATAAATATAGGGTTTTTGGTATTTTATAATAATTTTGAAATTGATTTTGGCTAGAAAGTAGTGGGCTCATGAAGTAAACTTTAAAAATTGGTGCTCACGCGCACGCCAACAAGCGAGAATAGGCCTACGTTGGGTGTACGCCGTGCCAAAAGTTAGGTTGGCCTTAGGGTTGGAGTGCCTAACACATGTCGAGCTAGTAGGGTTGCTGGCCAATATGGGGCATTGGCTAGTTAGGACGTTGGCCAACCGCTACCACTAGGCACTCGTCTGAGTGGCTAACGCTAGGTTAGGGTCGGGCATTGGTCGATAACCAGCACAAGGCTAATGGTAGCTACTTACGCTAGACACTCGGTCGCCTAAGGCGTGACGGCCCGTAGGCCTCCTAAGCCTAAAAGCCCACGAGCCCAAAGCCCAAAAGTTTTAAAAATTAAAAAAATAAAGAAATTTTAATATTTTATTAAATGACCAAAACCATAAGATTTATAATTAGGATTAAAATGAAATATCTTTCATTTACTTATATGCCATGTATCAATATGATCGGAGCATGAGCGAATGGTATGGATGAATCGACCTAATTTTTAAGAATGTATGCTTGTAAATTTTTGATTAAATAAGGCATACGTATCCTATCTTCTTTATTATTTTAATGTATTTCTCTTCTCATCTTACTCTCCTCAAATATAACTCAAGATTTCTTATTCAAAGAATTATAAAAGTAAAAGATAGATTAGTAGAATACATATAAAGAGAAGAAACCAATAAGAGAAAACAATCCTAAAAAAATTATAATAATTTTTTACCTAGGTATTTAATCCATTAATCTCCTTGTAGCTCGAAGACTAGTAATAGAGATTCATTATCATTTATCGATCCTTAAGTCATGTATGAGATTGATGTGATTGAACTGTCATATATATGATTGTGATGCGATTGATATCTAGCATACATAAGAAGATTAATACGATTAAACTCTAACATATATGTTAGGATTAAAATGATGAGACCATTCCATGTTAAATCTATCAAATAAATATCAAGTTCAATTCCTTCCAACATTATGAGGAGAGAACTCTCTTGGTCGTTGTTGACTTATTGAGATAACTCAAGGTCATTTATTCCTCAAAGGAATTAAATCATGAGTCATACGATATCTCCTAACGTTTGAGTTCAACTTGAGATAAATTATTGAGCTTGTTAGATAACTTAAAGTCCATCGAATTCATTGACAATGATTGATATTCGTATAAGATGTGAGGTTATAAGGAGTAGTCATGTCAATGAGATTAAAAGTTGCATTAGATGCAATTGGTAAGGAGTTACCTACCTAATCCTTTATGTATGACTTGTTGAGATAACTTAAGGTTAATACATGTTAGAGGATAGGATCCTAACCCACTAAGAAAAACAAATAGAAAAGTTTTCTCGAGTCCTATATTGAAGATTATAGAATTTAAAGAAAATAGTGAGAGCGAACATAGATTTGACTTCTTAATTTATGATTTATTTTTATTAATACAATTTAATTAATCAAATCATATATTTTTCTATTCTATCGAGCTATTACATAGTATGATTGATAATACATTGATACGATCGATCATTGATGAAAGTAATACCTTTAATGGTATAAACTTTCTTGATTAAGAAATAAATTTAAGGATAGTCCTTCAATATGAGAAGATTCTTTATACGATAGAGACACTTTTTCCAACCGAGCCTTCTCAAGATCAAGTCGATGCTTATGTAGCATGGCTCAAACATAGAGATGATGCGATCACCTCTTGGAGCATTATGTCGGGTACTATGACATTGAAGCATAGACACTAACATAAAGGCACAAATGCCTTTGTTATTATACCGAAACTTAAAAGTTTATTTAAGAAGAATACTAGACATAAGTACTATGAAATAGCTAAGAAGCTATTTAAAGCTAGAATGGATGAAGAGTCAAACGTCGAAAAACATATCATTAATATGATAGGCTATATTAACAGAGTTGGCCAAGTTTCAAGTTGGAATAACGAGTTGGCTGAGTTTCAAGTTGGAATGGATACAAAATTATCCATTGATCTAGTATTGCAATCGTTACCTAATAAATTTGAATAGTTCATCATGAACTTTAATATGATACATATGAAAAAGACTTTTGGAGAGTTATTGTTTATGCTTAACCCGAGATTAACAAGAAAAATATGAGTTTTATACTTTTTATTAATAAGGGCAAAGGCATG